CTCGGGTCTGGCATGTTGCTGACAGAGTGGATGGATTATTGGGAGGGGCTTGGGATGACCCGGCCTCACCCTTCTGTCAGTCCCTACATTGGCTTCCTATAAAATATAGAGCTCAATTTAAAATTCTGGTTCCTGCTTTCAAATCTCTACATAATGCTGCTCCCACCTATCTATCCTCCCTAATACACAAGTATGTCCCATCTAGGCCCTTACGCTCTGCTGAAGACTTATGTCTATCTTCTGTCCGTACTCCCACCTCTGCTGCTCGCCTTCAAGATTTCTGGAGGGCTGCACCGTTCCTGTGGAACTCACTTCCTTCCTCCATTAGATGCTCACCCAGTCTCCACTCCTTCAGAAAATCATTAAAAACCTTCTATCTATCTAAAACTTCATAAAAGCGTATCAATTAAACTGTTAAAAGCTCCCGACAGATTCCTCTCTTGCAACTGTCATTAGTCTAATACTATCCTTACTTTTTGTGTCACTTTACCCCACTCCCTCTAGCATGTAAGCTCATTGAGCGTCACTTTACCCCACTCCCTCTAGCATGTAAGCTCATTGAGCAGTGCCCTCAGCTCCTCTGTTCCTGTGTGTCCAACTTGTCTGGTGACATGTGTGTTCCTCCACCCATTGTAAAGCGCTGCGGAATTTGTTGGCGCTATATAAATAATAACATAATAATAATGTCCAAACAGCAACTAGATGCCTACTTGCAAAAACAGAATATTCAAGGATATAATTCTTCAATGTATTGTTATAGCTTCTTTCCAAGGATAAATCTGGCTGCCATTCTGGGGTCAAGTAGGAATTTATTTTCCTAGTTTGTTGCAAAATTGGAAGTGCTTCAAATTGTTTTTTTGTTTTTTGCCTTCTTTTGGATTAACAGCAAAAAACAAATATGAGGAAGGTTGAACTTGATGGACGCAGGTCTCTTTTGAGCAATGTAACTATGTAAGTATGGTCAACATAGCAGTCCAATGCTTCAATGCAGATCAATAGACAGTTTCAATGCGGGTCCACAAATAGCTAAACCTGCCAATCTGCCTCTGGCTCCGTGGGCTCTTAATCCTTCACTGATAGGTCATTGCAATGCAGGCCACGTTTTGATGTATATGAAGAACATGTTTTGAAGAAATTATTTTTACACTGCTCTGACATACAACACAATAAATAAATCCCTAGAACACTTAACTGCAGTATAACAAGATATAAATAGACTATTCTCTAAACAATGTGGTGATTTAAGAAGTAACAGAGTAGGATAAAATTGTCTGAATTTAGCCCAAATTTTAGAAGATGGTTCCCAAGTCACTTCAGCTCAATGTTTATAAAACAGGACCCCTAGTATTCACAAAATGACTGGATACATCAGAATAAAAGAATAAGATACATAATAATGCAGAATGTTTGCTTAATTCTTTCAAAGTCGATAAATGTGATTTGCTTGATCCTCTGCTAGAAAGGCTACCGCTGTAAACACTATTCTAAGCAGCACCTGTATTTATCTCAACACAATATCAGATAAACCAGATCTAAGCATTAAGTACTATACTGACAAATTATCTCTGGCACGTCTTCCTGGAGCCACAAGGTACAGAGTCTAGCTAAGTACCTTAAAATATATGAGATTTATGAAAATGTGAGAAGCAGAACACTCTGTCTTATAAAATATGCTTGTTTTATGACTACTTTTTACAAGATAAGCAAGACAGATTTCACAGGTATGATGTAGTTATTGATTTAAATTGGACTTTTATTCCACAGGGAATCTGCACAGATAGTTTGTTAAATGTGTTCTAAGCTTTTCACTGTGAGCAAAGCTGGATGCATTTTGTTGACCCTGTTGTACAAGTTCTGCTTCCACCTCCAGTTTTAAGGACATACACAGGCAGGATATGCTCGATCCAATTGGAGATTCATCTTCACGAATTTGGGCCGGTCAGGTGTTCGGCAGCATTCCTAGATTCTGAGCCGAATTCTACCCAAAATTACAAACTAACTGAACCATGCAATGCCAAGCGTGTCAGGGGGATTAATATTCTTAAAGCGGCACTGTCATCGTCTGGGACCCCCAATGGTGACATCGCCTCTGGTGGTATGGTGCCTGGAGGGTGGGTGGGGCGCTAAGAGAAAGCCAACTGTAACTTGCGGGCACCATCTTCTGGCAACATCACTGATGTACTCTTGGGTATGCACGAGAGTAGAGCATTGAGGCCTATGATCCCATGAAACCATGGGATACTCAATAGATATACCTAATATCTCTGCAGAAGTAACTGGTGATGGTTGGGAGATTCCAGCATAGGGAATATAGAGAGGCAGAGTAGTCCCTACCTTGTCTCATTATATCTTTCGACTCGGTTGGAATTTTAGTGACATTCCAACACAGTCAGTATGAGTATTGAGATGTTATCTTTATGAAAAACTCATTTTGCAGGGGGGGTGTGGGGAGGGGAGGTGATAGTGCCACTTCAGTTCCCTGCGCAAACGAGATTTAACATTCACGTTCATTTCCCTCTGTCATTCGCAGCCTTTAATGTTCGCATTCAACTGTTCTCACATTAGTTTTTTTCCCGTTCGTTTTTTCTTCTACCTCCGTTTGCATGTTTTTTGTAGAACATTCTGCTATTTTTATCCACGAAGTGCGTTTGCCTTTTTTTCGTGGCCATTTTGGATTTCGCATGGCGAGATCTGCGATGGCCATTTTAAACCTTGTTGGTTGGTAGAAGTTTCATCAGGATAGTAGCAAATAATTTCTAAGCTGCAACTTTGTCAGAATAACTGTTCAGATTTCACTCTGCTACTTACTATCTGCCACAGGGACCTGTTCCAGGTTAGTTGCAACCTTGTGGTGAGTCAGCCGGTCAGGTCTTGGTCTAGTAACCTGGCTTGGGGTGAGCCCCCACATATTGTGCTGCTGAGTGGAGCTGTGCTTGCAGTCTCCGTATTACTGGGTGAGCCCAAGATTTTGCCTCAGTGTGCATTATTGTGCGTCACGTTTTTGACCACTGCTACCTTGATATCCATCACCAATTTAGATAGAAGAGTGCCTGTACATATCATTGATTATTTTCATCTTTAATTATTGCAGTTTCTCAGAAACTGCAATAATTACATGCTCAGGGTTAAAGTATCACTATAGTGTCAGGAACACATATCCTGACACTACAGTGCCCTCAGGGTCCCCCTCCCTTGGCGCTGAAGGGGTTCTCTGAAACTGCTATGTTTACATCTGAATGGTTAAAACCTGAGGGACCTGGCACCCAGACCACTTCATTGAGCTGAAGTGGTCTGGGTGCCTAGAGCATCCCTTTAAATGATGTGTTAAATGATGATTACAAAGACTCATAAACAGTGATTTAGTATATATAATATAGACTACAATCACTACATGATACTTTGTTGCAGAAAATCACACTAGTTTATTAAGGCTGAAAGGCCCCAAAAGACATGTCACCGCCAAAAAAGGCATTAGTTTGCAAACTCATCTATTTAATCCCAGTGGGCAGCACATCATCTTTGTTTTATTCTGAAATCCTAAATACTCACTGTCTGCTTACTAGTACTTAGTTATAGTATCACAGATCTAATCAAATTTTCAATATCCACTAAACAGTCAGACTCCATGGGGAGAAAATTCCTTTAGTAGCAACATTGTATATGGAATCACAACTTGCGCTCCTGAAACTTGGTAAATAGGATAATAATTATACATTTTAGCACATTTTGGACAAGTATAAGGTTATTATTTTTGTGACTTTTGCAACTTGTCTTGTTTAGTAATCCTAAACAGTTGATTTTATGCTTCTTGCTTCACTCTTATTAACCTCTTAAGGACACCTGGTCTTTTACTTCTGAAGCTTTGTCCTAATTAAGCAATGTGCTATACTCTCCCTGAGCTCACAGGTCTAGTCACTAAAGAATGAATGCCTCTAGTCCTGCAGATTACAGCCCTTCTGGATGCAATTGAACCAAATTATCTACAAATAATGTGGATTTCTGTAGGTTCGTCTGCAAAAAAGCAGGTGGATTTATTTTGTGACTTTGTCTTCTATCGGTTTTGCTCGTAGTAATTCCGTCTGAAATTTAAGGTTGGATAAATATGAAAATTCTATATTTTATTTTGGATTCACATATGAGAATGATTTTAAAGCAGTCATGGTACAGAATGAGATGTGCTTGTTCTAATGAAACAATGAAATTTCAACTGAATTTAGTTTTAGAAAATCTGAAAATACCAAATTTGGTTCCAACTCAAGCACATATATATCTGGAGTGAGGTGAGTGAGAACGAGAGGTGTTGTCAGTTTTAAGATTAATTGCAAATGTACTCGGTTTCTGTAGCTGATGTCATTTAGCCAGAAGCATCTGACCATTCTGGGAGCCTGCCATATTTTTTCATTGCTTATAGTATGTCCTCAGAAGCTTGTAATCATATAGATCCCTTAGAAGGGATTAATCACTCTAAGAATTCACTTCATCATGTCTTTAGATTAAACTTCAAGCCCATAGACAAAAGCAAGCTATTCTGGCTTGTTTTCAAGAGAGAGTCTACAAGCTTGGCAAAAGTAATGTGTCACGGCAGACCAGCGGAACGAAATTAAACAGCTGAGAGAACTTTGCAATCTGCTTTCTGATCTCAGCTGAAGGAAAGCATTCTAACCTGAAATGCTGGAATTCTATTCTTAAAATCTGTACAAAACGACTGCACGCTGCTGCTATAGAACATCTCACAAATCAAGTGTGGATTTGTGAAATTCCATGGAAATTAATAGAGATAAGTTTACTTAACTAAGAGTTTGTGCATTAGAAAATGTATGGGTCAATCAAAATCTAAAATCAACTTCTTCATATATGTTCATAGAATTTATGATAAACGGCAACCTGAACCTCAGGTTTTTCTTATTATTATAATTATCATTGCTATTATTTATCATTTCTGAAGCACCTCCATATTCTGAAGCATAAACAATTTATACTATTCCTTTCATCCTTTCTATATGTGTCCCAGGCAGGTCAACACCGTTACCCTCCATACCATTACCATCAACACCATTACCTTCAACACCATTACCTTCAACACCATTACCCTCCATACCATTACCATCAACACCATTACCATCAACACCATTACCTTCAACACCATTACCCTCCATACCATTACCATCAACACCATTACCTTCAACACCATTACCCTCCATACCATTACCTTCAACACCATTACCTTCCACACCATTACCATCAACACCATTACCTTCAACACCATTACCCTCCATACCATTACCTTCAACACCATTACCTTCAACACCATTACCCTCCATACCATTACCATCAACACCATTACCTTCAACACCATTACCCTCCATACCATTACCTTCAACACCATTACCTTCCACACCATTACCATCAACACCATTACCTTCAACACCATTACCCTCCATACCATTACCTTCAACACCATTACCTTCAACACCATTACCCTCCATACCATTACCATCAACACCATTACCTTCAACACCATTACCCTCCATACCATTACCATCAACACCATTACCTTCAACACAATTACCCTCCATATCATTACCATTAACACCATTACCCTCCATACCATTACCTTCAACACCATTACCCTCCATACCATTACCTTCAACACCATGACCTTCCATACCATTACCTTCAACACCGTTACCCTCCATACCACTACCATCAACACCATTACCTTCAACACCATTACCCTCCATACAATTACCATCAACAACATTACCTTCAGCACCATTACCCTCCATACCATTACCTTCAACACCATTACCCTCCATACCATTACCATCATCACCATTACCTTCAACACAATTACCCTCCATACCATTACCTTCAACACCATTACCTTCAACACCATTACCCTCTATACCATTGCCTTCAGCACCATTACCTTCAACACCATTACCTTCAACACCATTACCCTCTATACCATTGCCTTCAACACCATTACTCTCCATACCATTACCTTCAACACCATTACCCTCTATACCATTGCCTTCAACACCATTACCCTCCATACCATTACCTCCAACACCATTACATTCAACACCATTACCCTCCATACCATTACCTTCAACACCATTACATTCAACACCATTACCCTCCATACCATTGCCATCAACACCATTACCTTCAACACCATTACCTTCCATACCATTACCATCAACACCATTACCCTCTATACCATTACCTTCAACACCATTACCATCAACACCATTACCTTCAACACCATTACCCTCCATATCATTACCCTCCATACCATTACCATCAACACCATTACCCTCCATATCATTATCTTCAACACCATTACCCTCCATACCATTACCCTCCATACCATTACCAAAATATAAGATGTCTTTGCAACAAAGATCTCTAGCCCTACAATGATTCAGGAAGTGATTGCACGATGTTGTTTGATTTGGTATTTAGAGTTCTGCTCACCAAAACAATGAGAGGAATAAAACAACACACAGAATCATGAGCACTCACACACTAAATGTCAAAACTTGCCAAATTTAGTGGGGTTTTTTGGGGTTTTTTTTTTAAACTATTACTTTTTGTGAGCTTCGTAGTTGGTGTTTAGTGAGTGAGTGTATGTTGTGTTATTTGGCCCAAGCAGTACCCTTATAATGTATGCATGATTAGGTGAGGTAAATCCTGTTGGATTTATTTTAAAATATATTTGGCAGCCCAAACCAAATCCCTAGTTTTACACCCCTCCTTGTCAGAGGAGCCTGATTCCAGGGCCCTATCCAATCTTGTACTGCAGAGTGCTAAGAGGAAGGATTTCCTAAGTCATGGGTTAATCTCATAAGAGTAGGCATTAGGTTGTTAGAGTAGGACCTGCTAAGAATGGGGTATATTGACATTGTGGGAGACTTATGCAATGTATGCTAATATACTGTAACTAAATCCCGACTATTTGAATTGAGCTCAAGTCAGGTATTTTAAAAGGTTTTTAACTCCGTGAGCTTTGAAGCTGGTGTTTAGTGAGTGAGTGCGCTGGATGCCATATGATGATTTTTATCACTGATCAAGTCAAAAGTGATCAACAGAGGTCAAAAAAGGAGAAGCAGTAAAACATATATTTATATATTATATATTTATATTACATATTTTTCCCATTATTGGTTACTTTTTCTCACTTGATGTGTGAACCAAATAATGGGATAATGTGTCTATCACTGTACAATATAAACTTAATATTATGTATATATTTAGCAGTCCACTGACTGAGCCATTTTCGCATACTATTTGGTTTGTACCATCTACTGAACAAGAGTTGGAGGTCCACACTAAATGCAAATTTCAGAAAAAGATGGTTTGGCCAAACCAGATTTTTCCTACTTGCATAAGTTTAATATTTAGCACACATGCATTATTGAAATCGATGCCATATTATTGTTTTCATAATGTATAGTGTATATTGATTCCATAATAAGTATACATTTTCAGAAAGAGGGTCTCCTTGTCACGAACGCATCCTACTCCAAGAGTGTACGTCACGTAGTTGTTGGGGTGAAAGGGTTCAATTTCACTATTTGTCTGCACTAGACCAGAAATAATGATAAAAATCCCCGTTAACACCACTCACACTTAACCACAATAATATAAATATCACTATTTTAACGCTGTCACCACCAAGACAATTTATAAATGGGATGCCTTGGTCCCACAGGTAAATTAATAAGAAAAACCCACAAAATACAACTTAGCACAATATCTATGAAACTGCAAATCTCTAATTAGTCTCTTCAGGTAACGTGATTCTTTACCAGACAAAGGCAGAACTTAATCAAGGAATATGTATTATGAGCAAAAAATAGTCACAGTGCATACAAAATTAGATGACAAACAAATTGTTTACACCAACAACAGATAAAAAACAAAAAGGATAAAATAACAGACGTCCTAATTGTCACAGCAAGGGTACAAAATGCTAGTGTAATAATAATTATACTTTCACACCTTACAGAGTAGTTCTGTTGGGGTCCCAGCTTCAAAGAGGAATTTAGGTTGTAAACCTTCTGACCTCCCCATACAATCAAATTAACCCTTTTTGAAATTGACAATACCACCTCTACCAGGCAGCCAGTTTATCTATGCATTATACAAATCGAATTAAATTGCAATATTCTATAGTGTAACAATGTATTCTGCACCCTTGCTGTGACACTCCTAAGGTCCTCTGTGTTTAAATCATATTTTAATATACGATGGGTGACATTTCCCAACATGAAGAACTACAGGTTGAAAGTTGCACCTTTTATTGTAGGAACTAGAATTAAAATTAAAACCAACTAAAATTCTACCCTTTACCTCCAATGAAATTCCCAGGAAGTGATATTCCCATAAGAAAAACATAAATATATATATATATGTCAAAAACATCAAGTGAGGAATTCATTCATTAAAGGAAACTCCAGATCCCTAAAGCACTTCACCTTGTTGGAGTGCTTTATGTGCCATGATTGTGTACTGTATTTACATTTTATAAAAAGTACAGATTTCTATCGAAATTAATTAACACTTTATAAAAGAACCTTGTTACACCCCCCTGGCTGTCAATCAGACAACATATCCTATTACTTGTTGGTTTGGTTAGCTCAGTGGAACTAAACTCAAAAGGCAGCAATTGCCCAGAGCACCTGCCTGGCAAAGACTTCTCTTTGAGCTGCATTGGAAAGTCTGTGATTGGACAGCTTCAGAAAGTCTGGGCAGGGTTAGAAGGGGACGGCTTGCAAAATCTGTAGACAGTCGATCTGTATGTTTTACAAGCTGTTTTATACATATATATATATATATATATCCGCAATGCCTCCTAAATAGGAATGAGATGAAATGGATTTTTGATATTGATACTTTAATGCCACAAGGGTTAAACGCGGATTTTGAGATCACCCCATATATATAACAATCTTTTCCCAAATAAATTTTATATTATAAAATATTTTTTTATTATATCGGTCTTTTATTATATTTTCTATTATATTTTAATTCATTTTATTTAAAAATAATAATTTTTTAGTGGTTAATATATTTAAATGTAATAAAAGTTATAATGGTAATATTGATATAATATAATTTTTTAAGAGTGGGCTGATCTCAAATGATGAATTTTTACCAACATCTTTTATGCATGCTGTTAAGGTATTTGTATTTACTGCATTTAATAAGAGATTCTAATGTTTTATCTTTTTCCTGTTTTTTTTTCGTTTTATATTTCTCTCTTTGTAATTTGTTTGTCCCCTCATGTTATATATCATGATGAGTAAATTTAATAATGCTTTTAACTTTTTATTGAATTAGATTAATTCTTGATATAAAAATATCAATATGAAATGTCTAGAGTAATATGAGCCCTTTTTGACTATGGAATAGCCATTATATTTATGGGCAAATTGAATGGACTGTTCCGTTCGGACCGGATGCGCGTCATAACGCGAGGACCGGAAGTTGCGTGATGATGCTACGCACCGGAAACCGGAAGCCGCGTGAAAAGGGCGTCAGGACGTAGGATGCAGCCCTAGTGCCTGAAGCGGAAGTTTTATATTTGCACAGTGGATCCAAAAAGGCGCCAAAACCGGGATATTTAAATCGTCAAGATAAGGAATGGAGAAAAGACTTTTGATAAAGGCTTAGGCCAAAACGCGTCAACTTACCAGATCTGCACAGTGATTTTTAAGATATATTTGTACAACTAATTTGCTTTTGTTTTTAGTGTGTCCAATAAATCTTTTTATTCAATTTCGTGCATACTGGAATATTTGAATTAAACAAGGGACCACGGAGAGCAAGCAGCTTGTATTTCGGAAGCCACGGGCAGATAGCTTTCTACACCTGTAGTATGAGCCAGCTTAAAGAAAGTGGCTCAAGACCATGTGAGTGAGACCTTTTATATCTCCAGTGGAATTAAGGCTTAACTTTATTACTCTATTTGCGTTATTTTTGTTCTTTTATGTCAATTGCAGGAGTAACCAAAGCATTGACCAATTGATTGATCAAAGAGTGCAAATAAGGGTAATGTGTGATTTAATGTAGTGTGCTCTAACCTTTTTTATTGTTTTTATGTAATTCACTTCTATGTGTTTGAGTGGCTCACATAGGTGATCGCAGCACCTTTTTCACTCTGTCTATTTTTTAACCTTATACTTTTTACTTTGTTAATAATGTTTTCATTGGGGTATATCTACTAAACAGTTATTTATTTATTATTTGGGCAGTGGACTGTCCCTTTACTGTTTTAAGGTACTGTCAGGAAAAAATATACTTATATTTCCAAAATCCCTCAGAAAATCCAGAAAAATGGAAATGAGAATTTTTACCTATCCCTACTATGAAATTAGACATTTTAACATCTTGCATTGCGTGTTTAGTTTTGTGGTTTAATATGATATCTACAGCAGCCATATTGAATACAAATCTGCAATTAATATCTTTGTAAACTGTTGTTTTCTTCACCTCCACTGTCCTGTATACATTTTCTCAAATCACCTCAAATTGCTGTTTGTTAAAAACAAAATCCACACCGTCAGTGTTAACAGGTATTTTTCATTCCTGGAGGTTATGCAAGAAGAGATTAACTAGTCTTTAAATTTAAGCTATAAAACAAAACACAATATTTTTTAAACACATTAACCCTTTGGATGCTACCTAGCATGACAATGCATTGCTTCGGAATGCAATTGCCCTACCTCTTGCAAACAAAAGGTTAAAAAGTTGAGACCTGTCCACGTGCACTAAGGAATTAAGAGGAAAAACCGTTTGGTAAAAAAATCTGTTTTTTAATTACACGGATGTAAATTCGATGACTGGTCTGCCTGCAGCACTCCCTCTCCTCCTAAGACAATCAATAGACTTGGCATTGGGTATTTGCAATTTATTATAATTTGCAAGCAGCCGGCCAGGCGGGCTACGACAGTCGGGCTGAGATGAACTCATCAATCTCTTTGGTTGATCAATGAGTTCTGAATACCAAGTATCTGGCAAAGTACAACAGGAACCCATAACAGCCTGATAGAGAATGAATGCCCTTCACATAATCATCTGTCAGGGCCACCAGCTATTTGGCAAACAGGTATCATGCAGAACATGCTTATCACTCAGTGGCTTCTGGAATACAAGTCAAGCTTGGAGAATGCTTTAAAGACATGGGGCCAGTGGCGGATCCAGGGGGGGATAGGGGCAATTGCCCTCCCCCCGAGGCTCTCCCCTGCCGGCTAATGCAGGGCTGGCATTGTCCAAGTGCCAGCCCTGCAATGTGCCTGCGGGCCGGGGAGGGAGAACAGAGCTATGACTCCCCGTTCCGCAGGCACCGTGCTGACAGCCGGCAGGGGAGGGAGAGGGAGGA